ATAAGGCTAATTTGAAATTGATACCGGATTTCACTTAGCACTCAGCAAGTTTTGTTATAATGCTTGCAGCTGCCATCTTGGGTCATTAAAAACAACCGCAGTCACCATCTTGGGTCATCAAATACTTTTGGTTTTGCTTAACGCTCATTTTGCTTAACGCTTGGTTTTTCAGGAACCAATCAAGAGTGCTAAGCAGGGGTTGCCTGTAACAAACATTTCATCTAGAGCAGTTACCAAACTATGGTCCGAAGTCATTTTGAGCGGTCTGCTGATCATACTGTCCTCTTCCCTCCTCCCCCTTCCCCGTGCCTCTCTCTACTTACCTGTAGAATATATCAATCTACTATACATTATGTAGCCTTGTATACTAGACTACATCTAATGAAACATCTATTGCACTCAACCCAATTATGAAAACAAATTGTGCAAGACAAGGCAACAAAAAGGATTCCAGTCAGAGTCTGACAACAGTCCCAAAAGTTATAGCAGGGAAGAAAAAAAAAAAAAAATAGATCTTTTGCTGGAGCGACCGCCATGTTACTCTCTCTCACACTGACTCCAAAAGAATTTTGCATTACTGACAGGAAATATATAATTAATTATATTCTAAAATTGTAATACAAATATAAGCTTATGATATACCCAACACTCTAAACTTGGAAGGCAGTATGTAGTAAGATGCTTGCATTTTGGGCTTTTAGAATTCTAGTAGTTGGAGATTATTAAAGTAATCCCGACTCTGAATGGAATTCAGCTTTTTTATGCTAAGTGCCCTACTCTTTTTTACATACCTACATCTTATGCCCTACATCTTGTGAACAACTTGTAAACATTTTTCAGTGACACCTGAATTTTCATGGCTGAAACTCATTTTGCATAGTGTTCTCTAGAAAGCCAAAGAGAAAAGTATTGTTGCTAATTCTAATCCAGAGAAATTGAATTTTATCTAGGTAGAGAAACTGGAGAACTGTGATATTAGCTAACAATCATTTTAATTAAAGACAAAAATTGTTTGATTCCGTCTGAAAAAATCCATGGTAAAAAAAATTTGTACTCTATTCAATTTTTCTGTCCCAGCAAAACATACCCCACATTGCCCCAAAAGACAGCAATTAAATAATTTGAATACCAAAATATATTTTTATTTCAACGAAAAAAGGTAGTTAATAATGAAGTATGAACAGGGGAAAATATTTTAAATGAACTGTGAAACTTAGCATGCTGAACAGAATCACCAACATCAATCTCTTACATTCGTACAACATCTTATCTTGAAGCATCCCAAATGATCTTATACATTTAAATAAGCTACTCACAAGAATCACCTTGTCTTTGAACTTCAGCAATTATTTAATAGGGTACAGCAACACCACACCACAAACTAGAGTGCAGAGTTAATACCATCAGTGCAAGGGCTGGGACAAATTTCCAATTTAATTTCTTTACGTTTGACCTGAGGCTAGATCCAAAAGAGGATGTAGGAGGAGCAGGGGCACCTAAATCCTAACCTGTGATCCAAAAAAAATCCTGCTCAGTTTCTCACCTAATATTTAGAGACACCTAAACTCACTAGACACTTCTCTGTTTGTTTTTGCTGCACATTAAGGATGTACAGAACAGTTTTACAGCTCAGCATTAACTTCCCTCCTAAATGTGTTCAGAATCCAAATCCCGGCCATTCCTACACCCAAGTCCTTCGAGGTGTTCTGAACGCATGGCCAGCAACCACTGATGGGATCAGGAACCCCATAAAATGCAGTGCTGGTTACTTTCCTCTAAGATGAAGAAGAAAGAGGAAGCAGAAGAACAGGCCAAGCAACATGGACAAAAATCCAGGGCCGCCTCCCTCTTCTCACCACGTGGTACCACAGTCAAACTACACAGTCATACTCCCTCTTTTACAGTCTCCTTCTGTCCCAATGAATCTCAAACTATTTGCTGCACAGTGGTCACTTTAAACAGGAAGAATAGAAGGTGCCTCCTCACCGCTTAAGAGAAACTCTAGCTCAGAGGTTAGGGCACATGTGTGGAAAATGGAGGTTTGAACCTCCTCAGACACCAAACCTTGGTCTCACATTTCCTAAGGGAGTGCTCCAACTACTACATAAAAAGGTGGGAGCCACCACCTTTTCTTCTTTGCTTTAAAAGGGAAGTGAGAACCACTCAGACCTTTAAAAATTCAGCTATAGGAACCTACTTTTAGAAGATGACTAGGCTGCAGCAGATGGAAGCACCTTCCTACAGTCCTGAGTCAGGACTCTAAGATGCAGAGGAGTTTGAGATTGCAGATACATTCCTGTCCTCAATGTTTCCTCTTGGCTTACTTTAAATAGCTCCCTGCTCTATTTGACTGATTTGATGGTCGGTTTAGATCACTCTATTTATGCATTATAAAAGGAATTTAAGCTCCTAATTCAGAATTTCCTGTTTGAGGGCTAAGTGCCTAACTTGAAGGAAATTAAGTCCTTTACTGGATCTGGCCATCAGACCTCACAGCCTGACTTCTGCTGATGGCTCTTTCATAAACAGGCACCTTTTTTATTACAGGGGTTATCCGAGCAAGTGATCTTTACAATTAATTCCCATGTATAAGAACAATCATGTGTGTTCAAGAAGAAACACAAAAAAACAATTTATTGATGTTAATCATTCAGTTTGCCCTAACGCCTTCCATCTTAGTAAATTACCTACTCCAAACACAGGGGTCTTACTTTCATTTAAACATGTGTCCTGGTTATTAAGAGGCAGAAAACACATGCCAGCACTTTAAAAAGGACCATCAAATAATAAAAAAAAAATTACAATATGGGACAAGACACATTATTAGTCACCTAATTATTAGCAAGCTTCACAAAATGTAACGTGCTTTTTAAATAATGTGAAGCTTTACATGTCTTTAAGATGTTAGTCAATGAACGTATTCAAAACTTCCAAACAATTTCTCTAGTCTTTTGTCTTTTTCTCTAGTTTTTTGTTGTCCTTATTTATTTGCATACAAAAGTATGTGACGCCAATTGGTATCAGAGCTATATCTTACTTGGCAAGTCACAAAGTATACAGGGATTCAAGGTCACTAGTCTCACAAGGTTTCAGTTGTGCAAGTGATACAAATACATAAGAAACAAAATGTTTGTGCAAAGTACCATTTTGACAGCTTTGGAATAGAGATCCTCTATTATAGAACATATGATATGGGAGGCAGCAATATTTCCCCGTGAGATCCACGTGCTGGAGCATGTTCATATTATCATTTTGCCAACAGCTGCATATTGGCCAAGGGCTTGTATCATTCAACTGGTTTTATTAGCAGAAGCAAGCTAGTAAGACCTGGCGTATGTTAAATTTGTACATGGAAATACAGACCTGAGACCACAAAAGAAAACACCTGTTACAAGGACTTTTTAAAATGGTCCAGGGTTACAGACTTGGAGACTAAGCTAAACTTTTCCTAGGAGATGTACAATTCCAGGGCAAGGGGAAGTTGCACAGACCCTTTCTCCTCTGCTAAAATTGTCTTCTACTTCCAAAGGTAAAAGATAAAAGAAAAAAACAAAACACATGTCAGCTTTCAGCATGTGATAAACTAAGAGAAATCAACCACAAGCTGACTTTAGGTGCCGACTTCAAGCAGTAAAACTGAAGTGCCTTGTTTTAATTAAAAGTTTAGAATTGCTGAAATGCATTTGTAATGATATGACTTTTTAGCACGGTCTTCTCCCAGCACAACCTCCTGTAGTTTGGATATGCAGCACCAGCAAAAGCAGTTAAGTGTGCACGTGCTCTAGTGACAGTGATGTCAGCAGCTGTAAGCCAACAAAACTTGTGATGGTGAAGCTTTCTAGCATATGGAAAGTCTCTGCTTTTTGTCTCTTTTCCATAACTGACAAAAAGTGGTACCGCTTAAAAAGTCCCTTGCATGCAGCCAATGGTTGACAGTGGTGGAATAGATAAGTTATACTCGATCCCATGAGCCATTGTTTTAGAAGGGGAAAAAAAAGAGCTGGCTAATCTTTCAGAAGTTTAACTACTACTGTTAAAGCAATATGACACTTAAATTTAGTTTTCTATTGCTAATCATAAGCAACTCATAAATCTACTTTATTTCACAAGGTGTATACACTTAGCTAGCTGATTAAGTATTTTTATACACAGTTACCATTGAGATAAAAATGTGTCAAAGACTCGTATTCAAAATTCAGTTTTTATTTTGCCACCAACTTCTCAAAACGCAGTTGCTTTGGTATTGATAGTAAAGTAGTTGTTTCAGTATAAACAAAGAAAAAAAGCATTAAAGTTTGAGGTTTGGTTATTGTAACGTGTAGAGGAAGCCTCTGAGAATTCATACAAGTTTCTTAAGGAATTAAGTTGTTGCAGAAGTAACATTACAGTAGATCGTAGGAAAGGTCTGCCTGGCATTACACTTAACAGGCGGCAGTGAGGCAACACAGAGGAAGTCAATGCTTGACGTAATGACAGAATGGCAAGCCAGCTCACAAGAAAGGCTTGCATGTATTCCATGATATTTTCTCATCACTACTTAAACATTTTGAAGGCAGTGGTAATCTAGTGCTTACTGGCCTTTTATGTCCAACACAAAAACGACAAAGAAAAAAGAATAAAAATTTGAACCTAGATTAAAAAAAAGTAGATACTAAAGAAGACTTAAATACTTACTGTAAAATTAGGATTGTATCCCGGTGGATAAAACTCAGGTGCATTAACTGACAACTTTGACATTATCACTGGAGCCACAGCCACCTGAGGTTTAGCTACTGCTGGTCCTGAATCAGAAATGGAAATTTTATCCTGTGATCCAGATGTGCAACAGACAAGCGTCCCAGGTTCTGGAAGGTTGTTTGTTTGTTTTTTAAATACCATCACATTATGTTAACACTTTTATGTTAGAATTTAACAAATTTTCATAAACAAATTTCAACAAGACTATAACCATAAAATGAACATTTGTTCTGAAGGAAAACATAAGAGGAGAAAAGAGGATTTCAGGAGTCTCAGATAATTAAAGATACCACTTTTAAAAATCTGGTTTTTGCTCCCATTTTTGGTGCAGAACTAAGTCTTTCAGGTCTTTCTAAAGGGTGTTATTTTCTTTTAAACCTGCAATTTCTACAGAATGACAAGTCAGGTTTTGCTAAAGGGGTCTTCCTGTAGCAGTGTCAGTGTTTTGCAGTCCAAAGGCCCCCCACTAAAAAAGGGAAAACGTGTTAAAGCTTTAGCAAACATTTTCTCCCAGATGTTAAAAACCCAAGACCACTGGGAGGGGAGGAGAGGGGAGGGGAGGAGGGGACCTAACGAGGACCCCTTCCCCTTGCAATGCCCCAACTTTTAGCATCCCAGTTTAGACCCTGATTCTGGAAACCCTCCTGCTCTGGCTTCACTCAGCCCTCGGTGAAACCCCTCGGGGGAGTCGAGCGCAGGCGCCTGCGGGATTCGAGGCGCACCTGGCATCAGCGTGGACCTCTACCTTCCTCATTAAAAACAAAACCCCATAAAAATCACACGGAGATCTATAGATCCCCGCCCCCCAACTGCATTTCACAGCTTTCTATAGGCATGGAGAACAAGAAAACCAAGGGGGTGGGCGCCCGGCAGATCCCTACAGAAAGGATCCTGTCAAGAAAGTGCCCGTGGGGCCCGCACTGACCCAGCAAGGGGGCGGGGGGCGCGTTTTAAAGCCCTCTCTTCAGTGCAGGACGAGGCCAAGCCGAGCTGCAGCCGGGCCAGCAGCTCCCCTTTGTCCCCCCACGGCTCCTCGGCCCTTTGTTACCTGCCGGCGGTCCCTGCGGCCTGGGGCTCCGGGGCGCCGCGGTACCTGCGAGGCCGGTGCCCGGCGGCGCCGTCTTGGGCGGCCGCAGCGGCTCCTGTTGCTGCATGAAGCCCGGCTTGTGCGGCGC